AAAAGAAAGCCTAGAAACTATGTTTGGTGAAAAACCACCCAAGATATATGCTTTCATTCAACAAAAAATCAACCTTCCATTGAAGCTAATTTTATTAGTGTCTTCAAATCAGCTTAGTGAAAACAACTAAATCAAAGTTGAAGCCTTCCCAAACAGACCCTAAAAGTTGTGTTGCTTTATGCTTTGTTAGGGGTGCAAATGGATTAGATCATGATTTGGTATGATCCGAAGTCTGATCTTATTTTGTTGTATTTGGATGTTCCCATTTGAGATTTTTTTGATCAAATCAGATTGGATAATAGGATCCAATTTTTTAATTGGATTGAATTCAGATCACCCCCTATCCGATCCAAAAGGATCCAATCCTATGTTATTTATTTATTTATAAATATATTATTTATATTGCATTTTTTGTAAATTTTTATATTATTTATTTTTTTATAGAAAACATGTATATATATGATGAAAATAGTTGAAAAAAATACTTTTAGTTTTTGATTTTCTTTATTTAAACTTTTATATTTTATTTTCTTTTTAATATATTTTTTTTATTTTTTTAAATTAAATCGGATTGGATCATATTCAGATATCTAACATCCTTATCAAATTCGAATTCAAATACATATTTTGTGAGATCCAATCGAATCTATAGTTTATAGTATTAGATCGGATTCAGATATCCCCTAATTTGAATCCGATCTAATCCATTTGTATTCTTATGCTTTGTGGATTAAAACTAAAAGTTTTCTAGCCTAAGACAATCAAACAACTATGTTCTTTTACTTAACTCTTACTAAATGCTCAAAGCACTGTTAGATTTATTTTTATTACTAAATGCTTAAAACATTGTTTGACTTATTTTTAATTCTCATATTCCAAAGGTCAAAAGAAAAGCGTTTCTTTACCAAAAAACACAAAGAATATACAAACAGAGCCTAGTTTAAATTTCATGAAATATTAAATGCATTTACCTATTCTTGGGCCAAAAAAATGTTGACTGGGTTAGAGAACCATTGACCCAGGTGGTCGAACCATCGACTCGTTCAACCTGGATAGTGATTCATGTTTAAAGAAGTTGTAAAGCAGACTGAGGTCTTAGATTTGAGATCACTAATATCTCTAGCGAGAGAGAGAGAGAGAGAGAGAGAGAGAGAGAGAGGGGATTGCAGATCTAAGATCTCAGTTCTTAGATATGAAATTGCAGATCTAAGATCGTAGAGGAACACCGGATGCTTCTCCTTCTCTTCCTCTTCCTCTTCCTTGTCCCCTCCTTCCTTTTTTTTTTCCTTTCCTTTCCTTTCTTTCTTTCTTAGCCGACAACTCTTTTTGAGTTTCTTCTTACAAAAGACTAAAATGAATATTATATCCCTAATATTCTAGACATTTTCTTCTTTTTTTGAATTTTTAATTTTTTAATCCATGTCATTTTCGAAACTACCAATTAGAAACTCTACTTTTCCCAAAAAAATCTTCCTAAAATCTCTCTCTCTCTCCCACAAGTTCCAATAACCTAAATAATCTAACATCTTAAAATTTTTCCTAAACAACCACCCCCGGCCCACTATCCCCAACTTTCTCCTAAGTTATCTCTAATTTAGTAGAGAGTTTCTCTCCTAAATTATCTTTAATTCTTATTTATCTTCTCCCCACTTTTTATCTACATCTATCTAAAGAAAGTTTGAATTAAAAAAATTTAAGAATTATTTAAATATTCTAAAAAATATATAATAACTTCAAAATATTTATTAAAAAGACAAAAAATAAGTATAATTCATTTAATAATATTCATATTATTAATAATTACATATTTTTATAAAATTCATCACGAAATTATGTACAAACAATATAAATTATGATTTTCAGGAATATTCTATCTAAATTTTATTTAAATAATAAAAATATAACATAAAAAATGAAATATTATTCAAATATTTCAATAACTAAATATCTTAAATAACAAAATATTCAAATTAATATTTTAAATCAATTAATAATACATTTTGAATAGTTACTAAATAACTTTCAATTATAATAAGTAGATTAAGATTTTAAATATTTAGTTAAATAACTAAATATTTTAAATAACGAAATATTTAACATAACTAGATTTTAAATAGTCAAAATAAAAAAATTATGTATTAATAGTACTATAATTTTATGGATTATTAAATTTAACAAGTAATTAATATTTTAAAATTTATATAATGATATTATTTCAATAAATAAATAATATTTTAAACAACTAATTTCATTTGTACCAATTAATAATTCTAGAAAACAACTTTCATAAAAGTTATTGGTTATTAATGATAATTTAAAAAATTTAATCTTTATTTATTGTATATTTTACTAAAATTAATATTTATTATATTTGAGTAACTATTTATTTATTTTTGTGAAAAATATATTTGCAATAATTATGTATAAATATATTTTTGTTTTGTTATTTAATAGAAATTTTTCAATAATTATTGGAGTTTAAACTACTGTTATTTAGCTTTTTAAAATTAGTTTATTATGTATTTTGCTATAAATTTTTAATAATTATTTGAGATTAAACTATTGTTCATGGGTTGGTTCGTTTTAGTTGTAGGTTATTTGGCCAACCAAATCGACCTGGTCAAGTTGGGGGGTTGGTCACTCGGGTTATATCGGTTTGGGTCAATTTTCGGTTTGACTGGTAAGTTCAAAAGATTTAAACTTAAAAAATTAAATTTAAAAATTAAGTTTAAATTAAACAAATACAATGACATTAAAAAATAAATTTATGATATAAACTATTTTAGCCTAAGAAATATTGATAAATTTCCACTTTCCCATATTAAAAAATATATCTAAAATATAAAATATTAATATATATTTATGGTCAGGTCGTTCAATTTTAATCAGTTTACAAATGGCCAAAGTGAAACTGATCCAACCCATTCGGGTTAGGAAATTGTTGAACCAAAGCCGACTAGAAATACTAGAAATCAGGTTGGTTAGTTTTATTAATTTGATTCAGAATGACAATGGGGTGGGGCAGGGACGAGGAGCCTCTCCCCATCCCCATCCCAGCAAAAATCCCCGTCCACGTCCTCGACCCCATCCTCGCTAACGGGGACAAAGTTATCCCCATCCCTGTCTCCATGGGGATCCCCACTCCTTGTGATTCTTTATAATGTCAACCATTATGTTTTTTTGTTTTTTATTTTATTTAAAAATAAAAATAAAATAATTAAAATTTACAATCCTATTAGAAAAGATTCAAACATATTCAGCCATATTTTTAAAACTATTAACATATATACATATATAAACTATATATGCATATAAATACATATATATTAATGGGCATCCCATGGGGCGAGGATCGGGGTCCACATGGGGCAGGGAGTGCTCTTCCCGTCCCCACCAACGGGGATGAAAATTTCCTCATCTTTGTCCTCGCGGGGGGAAAATCATCCCCACCCTCGCCCCATTCGGGGCAGATCCCTACGAGGGTCAGAGAAATGGGGAAAATTGTCATTCCTACGTTTGATAAACAACCCTATCTAAAATTAATTATTGTTATGTTTATATTGTAAAAAAATTATTAAAAGTAGTATAAAAATATAAATGATTATTAATTATTGTATAAAACAATTTATACAGGGATGTCAATTGTTAGGCTAAATGGTAAACCCAGCTTGACCCGACCTATAGGTTAGGGTCAAGTATATTTGGTTTAGGGTCAGGTTAGAGTTTTGATTCTTTAACCCGAGTCAGATTCGGGTTTTGACTTCTAACTTTATAGGCTTAAAGTTTATAATTTATTTGTATGTTGATTTGATTTTCTTATTTTTTAAAATAGAAAAATAATACCTTAAAATCTATAAAACAATTTCCTATATTTTAAATTTTTAAAATGTTTTAAAAAATAAATTGAAAAATATATGAGTCAAGTTGGATTGGAAGTGAGTCAAATTGGATTTGAATTGACAAATTCATGTCGAACATGACCATTTGACATATCTACGCATACTCTTACATATTTCTATTACTTATCTTTAACTTAACAATTAACGGATCCCCGCTCGTTTTAATATAAAACAACCACCCGAACCGTTGCGAGGGGGACTATCATCTTTTAGCTGGGAACAATCCACTGAACTCAGAACACGATTTCGATAGCTGTGGGCCCTTGGAATCAGGTTCTGTAGCCCACCACTATCGAAAACAATGGCTTTTTCTTTTTTTTTGGTTGAATAAGACGATGCCTTTTAGATAAATATAAAATTTATATAGAAAGTAAAGAAAAAAATATCACGAAAGCAGGTGGTATTTTGTCGGTGGCGGAGGCATCATTTTCCCGCATGCCAACGTCTACCTTTTCATCCTTCTTGCTTTGATTCCAATCAAACGGTTAGGATCTCTTCCTAAATACTATCAAGATGTAACGTGGCGTAAAAATGACCGTAGATACTACGATAAGGGATCTGTCGATATCCACATGCCACGTGTCTATCTAAATCTCCGTAAATAGCTAGAAATTTAATGCGACGTCCACGTGTCCCGTGGAAAGATGAACACCGTACTAGCTGTCACCGTCATAAAGGAGGTGGTTCCTTCTTCATTCTGATTTTCCACTAGCCAATTACATCATGACAGGTGTCTTGATCATGAAACCCCTGTGAGTCTCGGCCTCGGGTTCCCAACTGTCAGCGTCAGAGCGCAGCATCCGGGTAGGGATGTCAGGTCAGTGATCGATCGGGTTAAGTGGTAAAAAGGCGACTTGACCCGGAACTGGAGCGTTAGTAAGTACTAAGCGCGTCTAAGCCGTAGGAAGTAAGAAAGGTGGGCCCCATTTTGAAGTTTGAGAATTGAGATCGGAGGCCACGTTGGGAACTGGAGCCCTCCAACTCCTCCGAGTGAGTGAGGTACACGATGTCGGTAGATATTTAGATGGATAATCTAAAAAACGAAAAAAAAAAAAGAAAGAAAAATCTATAAGCCTATAAATAGAAACACTGCGGAGAGACCCTCCTCAGATCGAACTTAAAAGCTTCAGAGAGAGAGAGAGTCTGTCTGAAAATGGCGGGAATCATCCACAAGATCGAAGAGAAGCTGCACCCCGGCGAGCACAAGGAGGAGCACAAGCACCCCGGCGAGCACAAGGAGGAGCACAAGCACCCCGGCGAGCACAAGCCGGGTCACTGCAAGCCCGACGAGCACAAGCACCACGGAGAGCCGCACAAGGAGCACAAGGAGGGGTTCTTGGACAAGGTCAAGGACAAGATCCACGGAGAAGAGCACAAGAAGGGCGAGAAGAAGAAGAAGAAGGAGAAGAAGAAGGGCGAGCACGGTGGCCACGACAGCAGCAGCGACAGCGATTAAATCGCCCTCCTCCATGCATCATCCTCACATCATACTCAAGGTATTAAAGCGGATCGCTCGATCCCTTTCTTTCAACTGGAAAATCTTCAGATCTTTGATGAAATCTAGCGATCGTGAGTATTTGATCTTGACTTTCTTTCGTTTGACGGTTTGCAGATGAGAGGGAGGTGGAGGAGCATAGACTCGTAGACTATGTAGTGGTGACGGAGTTGTTAACTTGTTGCTTGCTTTCTTGTAATGGCTACGAAAACTCTGCGTATGAAACTATCAGTATATTATATTAATAAATAAAGAAATATAGTCAGTTCTCTGTCTGCGTTCTGTCTTTATCATGCTTATATGCCAACGTTTTTGGTAACTAAGTGGGACCCATTCATTGATTTTCTGGGTCTCACTAATCTAGTGGTCGAAATTTCGAAATCGCCAATTTAGCCCACCACACCACCACCATGCCATCTTGATTCTTGACAGTTCCCGAAACTTCGTCTGCACCATGGGCCAGTACTGGAAAGTGGAAGCCCATTTATGATTCAGTCAGCCTATTGGCTGTGGCCCAAGGGTACATGGGCCCCCTACCAAAGAAAAGATGGGTAAACTACCAAGACTCGTACGAATCGAGTCATCCCTGCTTCTGGGTTAAGGTTCTTAATACCATCAAGACCCTTGGAATAGTGCTGTCACGAAATGATTTCGTCATGATGGGACCCATTTCATGAAAAAGATTCCATTTTAAGGGATTAATGTATCCCTATGGCAGTCTCATTTAGAGCTGAAGAAAGATTGATCTTTTTGTCAAACTCTGAGAAGAGAAAAAATGAGGCAGCAGCTTATAACTGGTTAGACTTGAAATTGGAAAAATTATTTTAATAAATTTATGATGCCTGAAAGGCATGATACCGGAAGGGCTTTATCCAATCAAAACCTCCATGAATTTTGACGAAAACGAAAATCCATCTGATTGGTTACTACTTGGTTGTAAGTTTTTCTGATGAGTTTTAAATATGAATTTAATGACACATGAAGAAATTGAATAATGGAATGTATTTTTTATCTTTAATGCTAAATTCTGATAAATCAAAATACCAATAAAACCCTTTTAACTCTTAAGGGGGTACTATTTTATCTTATCACATATTCTTTTGCCATAGTAAAGTTACAAGGGTATTATGTTTGCAATTTCTTTAGGCTACGTTTGGTTTGATATAGAGTAAGATAAAAATAGAAAATTGAGGGAAAGTGTCAAAATTATTTCTCTCTTATTTTTCATCAAACCAAACACAGCCTTAAATGCATTTCTAGTTTGCATTGAATAATAAAATAACAAATGGAAACTTCTAACGAGAAACAACAATCATCAAACCAAAAACAAATGAGCCAGTTAACCAGGCGGTCTATCCATCCAACCCACTAAACCGGGACCTGAAGAAGCCACCAGTCCCCGATTTTTACAGTCCGATCGTCCGGTCTGGTCCGGTCCAGGCTGAGTCTTAAAACATTGTAACACACTTCAAAGATAATAACGATTGCAAGAAGCCTTATATTGGTTTGGTCCAGAAAAGAGAATTATTTTGATGCCTCCCTTTTCATGGTAGAGTGATAAAAAAACTTTAAGCAGTGTGAGAAAATAATAAATGAGATATTTGTTGGTTGGAGGGGCAGTTGCTATTGAGCTAGCAGAGTTTGCCTAATTGAAGTGGTAAATGAGTTCAATAAATAGGTAAATTTTTAAAAAAATTCTTTGTGGAGAACATGAATTTAAGAAATTTCTAGGTTCTTGGTTGGATTTAAAACTACCGGTCCAAAAGTAGTGAAGTGATAGGCTTGGCAAAAGGAGAGCTTAAAAATATTAAACAATGTTTGCCTCGCAAAAGCTAAAGGGACCCTACCTAATTAAGACTCAGATGAAGCGAGCTTTTCATGAGTTATTCGAGTTTGGCACGCGAAAAGCTTAATTCAATTGTTCTAAACCAAGCTTCAAGCCAAGCTCGAGCCCAATGAATTTCTACTCATGATGTTTGCGAGCCTAGTTAATCTTTTATAATAATAAATAATTTTTTGGCATATAAAAATAAAAATAAAAATAATTTTTTTATGTATAATTTTTATCTTTTAAAGGAATTCTGCTCATAATCGAGCTCAGACTGAGCCAAGCCAAGATTGTACATACAAGATTTTAAGCCAAGCCAAAATTGCTAGCTCGAATCGAACTCAAGCTTCATGGTTTTTTGGCTAGCCGAGCTTGAGTAGTCAAATATTCGGCTCAGATCAGCTCAAATCCACCCCTAGAGTCAATTAAGAGTAGTTATTTTCTATAATTGGTTTTCCAATATAGGGGACAATGGGGCCTCTATTTTGTATTCTCAACTAAGAAGGAAGGTCTCTATCTAGGCGGTTGTGAGCTCCATAAATAGAGCCACACACACACACACTTGACCTATCATTCAAGGATTAAAGTATTCATAATGACTGTCGTATTCGCATCAGACAGATCGAATAATGATGTGGATATGCTTTAGAAATGCATGGATACGAATGAAAGATATGAAAATGCTTAGATACACTAGGGAAATGCATACAAATCTCATAAATATTTTAATAACAATAAATCTAAAGCTGAATTAACTATGAATGAGGTATAAATACATGAGAAATGTACACTTTAATAGGTTATACGAAGAGAATTGTTACAATCAAGTGAATCAATAATACTGGGACTCTGGAAGATGTACATATCATACAATAATTATCACTCTATTTCAGTTTTTATAATTATAAGTTTCAATTTTTATTAATTTTTTTGGGAAAATTTTTTATTTAGTATTTTTATATAAATAATCTCTATTTTTTATATATTTTTTATTTTTAACACACAATTATTTATTTTACATATAATTTTAAAATAAAACATATAAATCATTTAAGGTGGATATAGTAAATTATTTTTATAATTTTCAATTTTTATTAAAATTTTGAGGAAAATTAACTCTTAAATTATTTAGTTTAGTTTTTAATTTATAATTTATAAATTAATTTTCAATTTTCAATTTATAATTTTTATTAATTTTTTGGGAAAAAATATTTATTTAGTATTTTTGTATAAATCTATTTTTTCAAATAATAAATACGTTTTCATTTTTAACATACAATTTATATGTAAAATAAAGGGAAAATTCCTGATTAGTACCCTATACTTTGAGCCTAGTGCCACTTTAGTCCCCGAACTTTAAAACATGACAATTCAGTACCCGAACTTTCAAAATGTGTTAATCCAATACCTGTCGTTAACCAGCCGTTAAGTGACATTTGAAAAGACACAAATGCCCTTTGAGTGTCATATAATTTTCTTTGTCAACCATCCACATGTTGATAAAAATGAACAGTCTCAAATCCTTGCCTCTTCTATTCAAAAAAGTTGGGGTTATGTCTCAATGGACATTCTGGTGGCCCTAACTTTCTTGAACAGAAGAGGCAAGGATTTGAGACTGTTTATTTTTTGTCAATGTTTGGATGGCTGATAAAGAGAATTAGATAACGCTCGAAGGGTATTTGTGTATTTTCAAATGGTACTTAACGGCTGGTTAAAGGACATGTTAATGGCAGGTACTAGATTGGCACGCTTTGAAAGTTTGGGTACTAAATTGTTGCGTTTTAAAGTTCGGGGGACCAAAGTGGCACTAGATCCAAAGTACAAGGTACTAATCTAGAATTTTCCCTAAAATAAAATATATAAATCATTTAAGATACGCCTCCATATTGATGAGTATCAAATTGTATTCAATGATATAGTACCAATACAGTGGTAGTGGTATATCATTCTGATATGCATGACTGACAGAATACACATAAAATTATAACATATACCATATGATGAACAAGAATAGATACAAATACAATACGCCTTGTATCGAATGTATCGTATCGATATTTAATCCTTGACAACCATGAATAAAGAAAAGATATTTACACTGTAAAAATAAACTCTACTACGAGTATTTGATTGGTCAGGTGAAGAGAATGAATGCAGCATTTATTGCTCAAGTCCTTGCGTCTTCCTTAGAGATTTAGACAATATACAGACTGTAAAACGATCCACCAGTGACTATAGTCTGCCTAGAAGCTTTATGTTCTGTTGTGAAGAAGTAGATGAAAGCTAAACACTTGTTCCAAAGCCAATGTTATGACTTATGACAAGACAACTCATAGGTGTGGAGAGGTATTTCAAAAGGCAAACATCTCATTTATAAAGGATATACGTGGACTGTTGGGAAAGGATGTAAAGTTAGATGCCGGGTGGATAATTGGGGTTTTGGAATACTACTTTTGAGGTTGAGAGCCAAAGAGACAGGGAGATAGAAAGTAGAAAGTTCACCATCAGATTTGTCACTTAGTTGAGTGTAGAAATCAAGTAGAGAAACCTCTCCTTCTAAAGCATCTTAAAAAGATTTGGCAAATAAAATGCTACCCAAAAAGTAAGGAAATTTCTCTGCTTGCTTCTTAGACAAATTCACTATGGGCTCATCTGCACTAGAGAGAGATAGATAAATAAATAATATTCCTGAACCTACCATCAATTATTTGATAACAAAGTAACATGATATGGGACATATTGCTTTTGTTCTTTGGACTCAATAGGAATGACAAAATTTTTAAGTAAGCGATCTTAGGTCCATGGATATAGAAAAGGCCCATAAAATCATTGTGACTTCCTTCAAGCCTTTCATATTTATATTAATGATAATGGGCTAGATTGGGTGGGCCGAAATTGCTTACAAATTTTATATATATTACATTATATATAACATAATATATCGTCATCATCATCATCATCTAACTATCTAAGCCTTGTCTCAATTATATGGGGTAAGCTACATCAATCTTATTTTAAATTGAATTCTGTATAATTTTATATTCTTTATTAAATTATGAGCACTTAAATAAATTCTTACTACATTAACCTATATCCTTACTAGTCTGCCTGTAACCGTTTTAGCCACTTTTTTCTTATGGGTGTTGTCGATGGTCTTCTATATCCTTATTGAA